GCCGTGTTTTTTCCATCGAAATCGAGCGGTTTCGAAGTAGAACATGTGCAAATCAATTAAATTGCTTAATAATAATAGCGGATAATTGTCGACAAAACCACAAAAACAATTTCGTGCAATTCCGAAAGCTAGAAGATGGGAGAACTCGTATTTAAATTTAACCTCTCGGAGGCAAAAAAGTGGCTTATGTAAGAGCAGTTGTGTTGTTGCTTTTTAGTGAGGTTGGTTTAACGTGCTGTTTCTTTCCTGGGGAAACGGCAATTTTGGTCGGTGCTTTTTCGTGAATTTTAATAAGGGAGGATTGTACTAAGCAAAATATTGAAATGACGTCATGAAAGTTTTGGTGGGGATAATCAGATACTTTTAGACTAAAGTTTTAACAATAGTTAGTCTCAGGAAGACAATTTATTCCACAAATGGAATTAACCATCACAATGAGTAGAAAAAACAATATAGAAGTACCAGAATTTTATATAACCGTAAAACAGTCATGTTCTGTTTTGTGAAAGTTTTGTAAGTACGGTTACAAGAGCTGCATGGACATTACTAAAAGTACCATTTAATTGTGCTGGAATTACATAAATAACCTATATTTTCGTTAATTAACAAAAAGGTTGTACAAACTACTTATGTAACCTATTTTTAAAGGTTTTACTCTACTAAACAACTTCCTAAAATGTTTTCCCAACTTTTATACAAAATCTTACCTAGTTGGGTCATATCAAATTTGTATGTTTTTATTTACTGGTCGATGTTTTCTCGACGTTTCATGACCCTTAGGGAGCGAAAAAATCGGTCTCTGTCTGTCTGCCCTCTGTCCGAATTTTTATTAGATAGATAATCTCCAAAATTATTAGACCGATTATATGTTTATTAAGAATATTGGGTAGATGGTAAAACTATAACCAAAATTTGGATCACTTATTACTTCAGTTTTATAAAATAAGATACTCCTTTACATCTGGTTTATCAATCCGTGTTCAGTTTTACACCTTAGGCATGTTTTGAAATCTTGTAAACATTTTAAGATTATCATAGTAAATCGTTAATCAAAATTTATTTATTCATTTGTCACCTTCCAAAAAGTGGATGACGTCATCCCAAAATTTCGCTGAATAAATCCTGTCTGAAATTTGCAAAATATTATGGCTCTATAATTGTGGTTTATCAATCTCCTCGCAGATTTTAGAGTTACTTATACAGGACGACTCAAAAAAAACTTAATATATGAGACCATTTATTTTACTGATTAAAATCAAGAACTCCATTTTCCTGAAAATTTGGGAATTTCGTTACTGTTGTTATAAATCTTTGTTGTAATGAAAAAACTCACTTAAAACAAACGCTATGCATGCTTTCTTACATCGACTTTATAATTACATTTTTATTTTAACTTATAAGAGTTATCATAAAAAAATAAAATTCGCATAATCAAATCTTATAATTTTTCGAAAAATCTGGATTTATTTACTTTCGACCAATTTTTGTATATTATAATTTTTCGTTGTTCCTTTTTCTTCGATTTTGCAATTTTTTGTTTTTCGTTTTTTTTTATTTTTTCAATTGTTCCATTTTTCAGTGTTTCAGTTTCAAAATTTTTCTTGTTTACAACTTTAATTTTTTCAATTTTTCAATTCCTCCACTTCCAAACTTTCAATTTTTCGTTTTTTCAGTTTTTCGATTTACAATTTTGCAATTTTGTGATATTGTATTTTTAATTTTTCGATTTTTCATTTTTTTTCTTTCCTCAATTTGTCAAGTTCTTCATTTTTATTTTTCATTTTCTCTATTTTTGAATTTTCTTGTTTAGATTTTATATTACAATTTCTCGTTTTTTCATTTCCTTTGTTTTCTCAATATACTTCTTTCGATTTTATAATTTTTCGTGTATTCAATTTTTAAATTTTTAAATTTTTGCAGTTTTTAACTCTGAATTATTCGACTTTTCGATTTCTTTAAATTTCAATTTAATTAATTTCGATTTTGAGGTTTCTCAATTTTTAATCCTTCGATTTTTTAGTGTCTCGTTTCCTGAATTTTGAAGTCTTTGATTTCAAATTTCTAGATTTTTCAAAGTTGTCATTTCATTATTTTTCGTAATTTCATTAGTCATTACTGTTATTATAAGTATCACACTGCATGTATCCAAACTGTTATACGTTACGTCATCACACAATTTTGTAATGAAAAAACTCACTTGAAACAAACGCTAAGCATGCTTTCTTACATCTACTTTATTATTACATATTTATTTTAACTTATAAAGGTTATCATAAAAAATAAAATTCGAAAAATCTGGATTTATTTAGTTTCGACCAATTTTTTTATATTATAATTTTTCGTTATTCGTTTTTCTTTGGTTTCCTAATTTTTGGTTTTTTCAGTTTTTCGATTTACAGTTTGGCAATTTTGCGATATTACGTTTTTCATTTTTTCATTTTTCAATTCTTTATTTCCTCAATTTTTCAAATTCTTGATTTTTATTTTTCGATTTCCGTATTTTTGAATTTTCATTTTCCGATTTTATATCGCAATTCCTCGTTTTTTCATTTCCTTTGTTTTTCAATGTTTCTTTCGATTTAATAATTTCTCGTTTATTCAATTTTTCTAATTTTCAGTTTTTGATTTTTTCAGTTTCTCGATTTTTCGATTTCTTTAAATTTCAACATTTCGATTTTTCGATTTTGAAGTTTCTCAGTTTTCAATCCTTCAATTTTTCAATTCCTTGATTTCCAATTTTTAGATATTTCAAAATTTTCATTTTATACTTTTTCGTAATTTCACATTTGTTTTTTCAATTTTACAATTTTGTAATTTTTCCATTTTTTGATTCGAAAAGTTCAAAAATCGAAAAAGTAAAGAAACGAGAAATTGCAAAATCTAAAAAATGCACATTGAACAACTGTAGAACCGAAAGTCTTTATTAAAACATTGAGAAACTAAAAATCGAGAAACCTAAAAATTGAAAAAATAGTAATGCATCGAAAAATTAGAAAGAACAGAAAACGAACTGAATCGAAGAATTGGAAAATCGAAAAATTATAAAATGATAAAATTTGGAAAATCGAAAAACTGCAACCTTGAAACATCGAAAAATTGAATAACTTAAATATTGGGAAATTCAAAAATTAAAAATTGAAAAAGTAAAGAAAGGAGAAATTACAAAATTGAAAAACTGCAAATCGAAGGTTTGGAGAATCGAAAAACTGAAACATAGAAAAAAACAAAAAACGAATTAAATCGAAAAATTTGAAAATCGAAAAAGTATAGAATGGTAAAATTTGTAAAATCGAAAAATTGAAACCTTGACACATGGAAAAATTGAAAAATTAAATATCGAAAACTTAAACAATCAAATAAACAAAAAGGTTTTAAAATTCAATAATTGAAAAATCGAAAAATTCTAAAATCGTAAAATTGGAAAAATAAAAAATTTGTCTCAATTTTTAATCCTTCGATTTTTTAATTTTTGTTTCTTCAATTTTTGAAGTCCTTGATTTTTCAAAGTTTTCATTTTATACTTTTTCGTAATTTCATTTTTGCTTTTTCAATTTTACAATTTTGCAATTTTCCCATTTTTTCGATTCGAAAAGTTGAAAAATCAAAAAATTGAAAAATCGAAAAAGTAAAGAAACGAGAAATTGCAAAATCGAAAAATGCTAATCGAAGAACTGAAGAAACAAAAAACGAATTGAACTGAAAAATTGGAAAATCGAAAACTTATTACAGAATGATAAAATTTGTAAAATCGAAAAACTGTAACTTTGAAATATCGAAAAATCGGAAAATTAATTATTGGGAAATTCAAAAATTAAAAATCGAAGAAGTAAAAAACTCGAAAACTGAAGAAACGAATAATTGAAACAATGAGAAACTAAAAATCGAGAAACTTAAAAATCGAAAAAAAATAAAGTATCGAAAAATTGAAAAGAACAAAAAACTAATTGAGTCCAAAAATTGGAAAATCGAAAAATTATAGAATGATAAAAATTTGTAAAATTGAAAAACCGTAACCTGGAAACACCGAAAAATTGAAAAATTAAATATCGGGAAATTAAAAAATTATAAATTGAAAAAGAAACGACACATTGCAAAATCGAAAAATGCAAATCGAATAATTGGAAAATCAAAAAATTATATAATCATTAAAATTGAAAAATCGAAAAATTGCAAACTTGAAACATCGAAAAATTCAAAAATTAAATATCGAGAAATTGAAAACTTGAACAATCGAATAAATGAAAAGGTTTTAAAATGCAATAATTGAAAAAATCGAAAAATTGTAAGTGGAAAAGTGAAAATTTTTAAAAATTATAATTATTGTTATAAATTTAAAATGAAAACTATAAAAATTACAAATCAAAAATTGAAGAAACGAAAAATTAAAATATCTAAATGTTGAAAAACCGAAAAATTGAAAAATCAAAAAATTTAAAATTTCATACTGAAAAAATAAAAACGATACAATCAGAACACTGCAAAATCGAAAAATAGTAAAATCTAAAATTTGTGCAATACTTGTGACAAAAATGGTAATGTAACCATTTTTTCAACAAAATTTCTCTTCTAACGTCAAAATTAAAAAATTCAAAAGTTGGAAAATTGAAAAACTGATAAATTTAAACTTGAAAACTCGAAAAACTGAAGAAACAAAAAAATGAAAAATTGAGAAAATTTGAAAAATCCAAGTCAAAAAAGCTGCGGAAGTGGTTATCAGAAAACCAAAGTCGCAAACAAATATAATTTTTCAAAGTGGAATTTGTTGGATTGTAAGTCAGAGGCAAGGGAAGTTCTGTCGAAATAACCTTCGACCAATTTTTTGAAAACATTTTCGTCCAAGTTTGGTTCCTCAATACCTGAAGGACACGAGTTAATGGCAACAATTTTCTGACCATTCTTCGATTGCTACCCAGATAATAACAGTGCAATAATAGCAATAATAACGATAATAATAACACACCAACGCCGATAATAACACTAATAACAATGCAACAACTCACCGCATTTCGTTTTGTGCTTGCGCTCCGTCGTGCTGATCGTCTCCGAGCTGTGTCTCGAACCCTTGATGAGTGCATCTTCAGTATCAGCAGTGCTGATCTCGTCCTCTACGGTAGACATCCCTGATCCCTGGCGACTAGATTCAGCTGCGTTCGTGGGGCATCTTATGGCTCGACCTGCAATTGATTGACTTCATTGCATGAGACCTGATTTAGTTTTTTAATAAGTGCGTCGAGTAGGCTCACACTGACCTACTTCGATCAATTCGCACTAACACCACTAATTGTTCTTGTATCGTAGTATACTCGTAATTCTGCGTCCCGAGTAGGAAGCGCCTTTACGTAACGCGAAACCTGGAGGAAGTCGAAGGATCACCTTCACTTGTCTTTAATTCGTAACTTGGTGATTTAATTCGTAATTTGGCGGTTATGGAGGAAGTTGTTTCTAATGGTGATGTAGTAGCCGAAATTTTCGTGTCGGGTTTGCGCAATCACTGACCTTACTTAATAGGAATTTTCATATAGCGTGATCTTTGGAGGGGGGTGCATTTAACACAACAAAGAGCCGAGCGATAATTGCGAAAGATTTTTTAATTGTGTGCTTTTTAAATTATTTCCTAGATTGCATGTGGGTTGTTATGTTGTTATAGTACACGAAAGGACGATTATCTAAGACGTATCAGGAGATGTAAGGTCACTGTCATTGGAGTTTTTGCGACTTTCAGTTTTCAAGCAAGGTGGAAAAATCCGCAGCTGGAGGGCGTTTGCTGCTGGAGTCGTACGGATTTTTCCATAACGTTCTAATTTATGTGGCTAAATCTAGAGCAACGTTAGATAGTAGGAGGTTTATGAGTTGTTCTATTCGTCACCTCACGTTTAATTCAACGCATAATTTACTTGTTTCTGCGTGACTGATTAAATTTTCGCTGTGACCTGTTAAATGTTGGTTCTATAATTGCATTATATTTGGTATACCTAATTTATGCGGTCTAATTTGTATCCTTCTATCATTAGATTTTTAAAAGGTCATTGTCGCTGAAATTATTTCGCACTGTATTTTTCCATCTTTCCGTGTTATCATGGGTGGAGTAGTTTTTGCATTCTCTTCCTTGAATGAATATTTTTTATTTTTGCTTTCCTAATGAAATATAGGAAATTGGTGCAATAAAACAATAATAACATTAATAACAATTATAATGTCACTCCAAAATATTAATGACGTCATCGTAAAGTCGTGTTAAATACATTGTGTTTTGTTATAAAAATTCATATTTTGAAAACAATTTTTGTTCTATGAGATTTGTTATAAGTGACTTTTTGAGAAGAAAAAATAAGAATCAAAGAAAGTTATTTTTTAAGGATCAGTTTGAGTTAAAATTTCGCAACTTTGTATCTTGACAACGATTAGAAATATCAAAATTCTGTAAACGCCATTGTTTTCAGCTTGTAGAAGGATTTGCATTATCTAATAAATAGTTAAATGATTAATTATTTATATTTTAATACAATTTGCTAGAATACGATTCACAATGTAATGTTTTACTGCTGACAGATGTTAGTTTTAACAATTTTTGTTGGAATTTTAGATTTTCAATTAAATTCACAGTAAAACATATCAGAATTACGAAGTTAATTTTTCAATTTTGAAATTTAATATTTTGAAAAAAAATTTTAACCATAATTTTCGAGTTCTGCAGATTCTTCTTAACAACGTACCATCGAGCATATACATAATTTTTTCATCACCCTGTATTTATACATATTCTTAGGTTGTGAAATTCCAATGCGACGCGACATTGCAACGTTTTTTAAAATATGTGTCGCAATAATATTTTGTTTTAGTTGTTGTACTTAGTATAAATAAAATTTGTTCTTAATGTACAGAAACTTAATTTTTACAACGATTAGAACAATTAATTTCCACAACCTTTGTTGATAACAATTTCATCTTATTTCATTTTGTACTTTTAAGTTTTAGAGTGTGTTTGATAGGTAAGTTTACAGTTTACAGGTACACCTAGACATAACCTAGAAATAACAATTTTGTCCACAAAATTCTAACCTGAAGATGGCCTTACTTTATTTTCGGCCGAAACACGTGTCGCAATAAAATAAATAATAGTGTTCGAAAGACAGGAACATTTTACTCTTCCATTAAAATTCAACAAAAAGACGAACAGGTTAAAGATATGGTGTATCTAGGAAATAAAATGTCGAAAATATGATGAGTTTATACTTGTGATTTATCTTTCCATTCATATTTTTTTAATTTGCTTATACAGGGTGACTGAAAAAATTAATGAATGCGTGAGTTTATTTGATTGATATAATCAGAAACTGCAAAACCGAATGCTTTGAAATCTTGGAAAAGTTTTAAAGTTATCATAAGAATGGTAAATTTTTGATCAAAATGTATTTGCTCATTCCCCTTAAATGTGCAAAATATGATGAGTCTATACTTGTGATTAATATTTTTTAGATTTGCTTATATAGGGTGTCTCAAAAAAATTAATGAGTCAATTTATTTTATTGACCAAATCAGGAACAGCTCACTCCATTTTTCGAGAAAATTTTGGGAATACAATACTGTTATTTTTCAATTTCCATTTTACACTAAATAAAATAAGTCAATGAAATGGAGAAAGGAGGTGGGCGGAGCTAAATTTAGCTTTTTTCTAGTTCTGAGCAAGCAGTAGCCCAGCTACTGTGACTACTGTTAATATTGTTCAGTCCTAACTTACAAAGTTTTAGCCCCACCCACCCACCCTTCTTTTCTTAGAAGATGTCATTTACCAAAATCAATCTTATCTTAACAAGTATTAGTCCTCCACCCACTCTTTATTTTCTTAGAGGGTATGTCATTTACCAACCACCGGCCACACACAGAATCTTTTATAAGCAAGCGACAGCCCCGCCCACCCGCTCCTTCTTCATTCCAGTGATTACTCTTCTTAATATTGTTCAGTCATTTACCAAATTCAACCTTATCTTAACAAGTACTAGCCCCGCCCACCCACCCTCTATTTTCTTAGGGGGTATGTAATTTGCCACAGTCAGGCTTATCTTAGCAAGTACTACACCGCACCAATCCAAGTTCATACGTATCCTTGCAAAAATGTTGATAAGGTCATCACAAAATTGTGTAAAAACTCAACTTAAAAATGCTCCGCCCCGCCCACCCACCCCTTCTTCGTTTCAGTGACTATTCTTAACATTATTCAGTTCTAACTTAGGAAGTTTTAGCCCCGCCCACCCACACTTTTTTTTTTAGAAGATATGTCATTTATCAAAATCAATCTTATCTTAGCAGATACTAGCCCCTCCCACACACGGTGTTCTCATTCTAACGATTTTATCTCTCTTCAATTGAGATCCACATTTCATTTGTACTAGACAAAATGTATCACTGAAATGGAGGCGGGGTGGGTAGGCGGGGTGAATTATATGTTTTTGGTAAAGTGAGAATGGGGACTAATAGAACGTAGGCTTAAAAAAAAGCGTTTATCGTAATTTTTTTGTTATACTACTTATTTTTTATTTCTGAAGAAAAAAAATGAGAGAGCGGGTGGGTGGGTGCGTGGGGCTAAGTTTAACTTTTTCCTACAGAGTCTTTTATAAGCAAGCAACAGTACCGCCTACCCACCCCCTCTTCATTCCAGTGATTACTCTTAATATTGTTCAATCATTTACCGAAATCAATATTATCTTAACAAGTACTAGCCCCGCCCACCCGCCCTCTATTCTCTTAGGGAGTATGTAATTTGCCCCAGTCAGTCTTATCTTAGCAAGTACTACACTGCACAAATTCAAGTTCATATATGTGTCCTTGCAAAAATGTTAAAGCGGTCATCATAAAATTGTGTAAAGTATAAACTCAACTTGAAAATGCTACGCCCCGCCGACCCACCCCTTCTTTGTTTCAGTGACTACTCTTAATATTGTTCAGTTCTAACTTAGCAAGCTTTAGCCCCGCCCACCCACCCTTTTTTTTCTTAGAAGATATGTCATTTACCAAAATAAATCTTATCTTAAGAAATACTGCCTCCCCCCACCCGCCCTTTATTTTCTTAGTGGGTAGGTCATTTACCAAAATCAAACTTATCTTAGCAGATAATAGCCCCTCCCACGCATGATGTTCTCATTCTAACGATTTTATCTCTCTTCAATTGAGATCCATAATTCATTCGTACTAGACAAAAGGAATCACTGAAATCGAGGCGGGGTGGGTAGGTGGGGTGAATTATATGTTCTTTGTAAAGTGAGAATGGGGACTAATAGTTAGAATGTAGGCTTAAAAAAAGCGTTAATCGTAATTTTTTTTCTATACTACTTATTTTTTATTTCTGAAGAAAAAAATGAGGGAAGGAGTGGGGGGCGGGGCTAAGTTTAAATTTTTCCTACAGAATCTTTTATAATCAAGCGACAGCCCCGCCCACCCACCCCCTCTTCATTCCAGTGATTACTTTTAATATTGTTCAGTCATTTACCAAATTCAATCTTATCTTAGCAGGTACTACAGTGCACCAATCCAAGTTCCTATACGTGTCCTTGCAAAAATGTTGATGGGGTCATCACAAAATTGTGTAAAGTAAAAACTTAAAAAAATGCTACGCCCCGCCCACCCACCCCTTACTTCGTTTCAGTGCTTACTCTTAATATTGTTCAGTCCTAGCTTAGCATGTTTTAGGCCCGCCCACTTACCTTTTTTTTCTTAGAGGGTAGATCATTTACCAAAATCAATCTTATCTTAGCAGATACTGGCACTGCCCACACACGATCTACTCATTCTAACGATTTTATCTCGCTTCAATTGAGATCGGCCTTTCATTCGGACTAAACAAAATGAATCACTGAAATGGAGGCGGGGTGGGTGGGCGTGGTGAATTATATGTTCTTGTGTAAAGTGAGAATGGGGACTAATAGAACGTAGGCGTAAAAAAAGCGTTAATCGTAATTATTTTTTATACTATTTATTTTTTATTTCTGAAGAAAAAATGCGAGAGGGGTGGGTGGGCGGGGCTAAGTTTAACTTTTTCCTACAGAATCATTTTTTATAAGTAAGCAACAGCCCCGCCCACCCGCCGTCTATTTTCTTAGGGGATATGTAATTTGAGTAATTTGCCATCAGTCTTAACTTAGCAAGTACTAAAAAAAATGCAAGATATGTTTTATTGTAC